AAATAGCCCAATAAGAGAAATCAACAATGGATATAAAAAGGTATAGCCTTGAAGAAGAAATATAGTTAATAAATATTTGAAAATAGTTAACTGTTTTTAGTATGCAAGTAAATACACAGTAAAAATAAGAGATTACTTTTTTGCCCACCATATTGGCAAAAATTTAAAAGAATGATGATAACCAGTTTTCTCAGGGGTTAGAGAAATGAGCACTGTTCAAAGCGGGGGGGTGGGGAGTGTAAGTCATCTTTCCTCAGGGCAGTTTGGTACTCTAGAATGTTTATAACCTTTGCCTTAGCAATTTCTTTTTTTTTTTTTTAATATATTTTATTGATATTTTACAGAGAGGAAGGGAGAGGGATAGAGAGTTAGAAACATCGATGAGAGAGAAACATCGATCAGCTGCCTCCTGCACACCCCCTACTGGGTATGTGCCTGCAACCAAGGTACATGCCCTTGGCCGGAATTGAACCTGGGACCCTTGAGTCCGCAGGCCGACGCTCTATCCACTGAGCCAGACTGGTTAGGGCTGCCTTAGCAATTTCGATTCTGGGAATTTACTCTGTGAAGAAGATATATGTGCTAAGATGACGACTGCAGCATTGTAGTAGCAGAAAAATTGGAATATTCTAAATGTCTATCACAAGGGAAATGGTTAAATAAATTATAGTACAGTTGACCCTTGAACAACATGGGACTAAACCATATGGGTCTACTTACACGTAAATACTGTAAATGTATTTTCTCTGCCTTATGATTTTCTTAACACTTTCTTTTCTCTAGCCTTCTTTATTATAAGAATACAGTATATAATACATATAACATACAAAATATATGTTAATCGACTGTGTGTGTCATCGGTAAGGCTTCTGGTCCACAGTAGGCTATTAGTAATGTTTTTGGGAAGTCGAAAGTTTTATGCATTGTCCAAGGGTCAGCTGTATACCCTATTAGGAAATGCTTGGTGATGAGGACAGAGCTGCATAAAGGTCTGTATAGCCACCAAACTGTTAAAAGATTCCTAACTCAAGGAAGAGAGTGAAATGTGAGGCAGTAATTCTGAGCATCTCGTCTGCATGCCCCTAGCCTGCCGAGACACTAATTCTGTATGGCTTGAATGTTCACATCAAAATGTATTTATGCAGCCCAGCTGGTGTAGTTCATTGGTTGAGTAAGCGTTGACCTGTGAACCAAGAGGTCACAGTTCAATTCCTGGTCAAGGGCACATGCCTGGGTTGTGGGCTTGATCCCCAGTAGAGGGCATGCAAGAAGCAGCCGATCAATGAGTCTCTCTCATTGATGTTTCTTTCTCTCTCTCTCCTTTCCTCTCTGAAATTAATAAAAATATATTTTTAAAAACATCTATTCATGCATATCATAGTTTTTAAATTTTTAAGTGAATTAATTCACTTTTAAAAAAAGAGTTGAATCTTTCATTTCAGCTTGTGTGCTTTTCTGCAAATATCTGCCAGCAGTACCCTTTTCTGGAAGTGATTTTTGTGAAGGAGTTTGCCTATGTATATTGGTTCTTTTCTGCAAATAATAGTCTAAGTCTTTTGGGAGGTGTAATCACTCAAAATTTTTTACCAAGTGGCATTTTCTGTGTTGGGATGTAGGACCAAGGCCTCCTGAATCGGACTCCGATGACCAGGATGAGGAAGACTTTGAATCTTTAGAAAGTGATGATGACTTGGATTTTGAAACACAGGAGCCTGGGGAAGAAGCATCTGTAAAAGGAACACTTGATGATCTCAAGTCATACATGGCCCAGATGGACCGGGAACTGGCACATACCAGCATTGGCAAAAGTTTCGCCACCCAGAAGCAAATGGTATGTGTGGGTTTAACTTCTTTCCCTTTCTGAGTCTATTACAAAGGATAGCTAAAAACATATTTTATCTTAGTGGGTTTTTTTGTTTGTGATCATTTTTTTGTGATAAATTTGATTTTTTTTTATTTGAAATAAATAGGAATACTAATTTTTCCTAACTCTGGTTGGATGATGGATTATTAACTTTATTTTCCTAAAATAAGCTTAATTATATTACTTACTCTGTTATCTATCAGGATTTAAAATAATGTCATGTGATTTGTTGAAATTAGTATGTGATACTACTACTAAGAGCTTACACTGATTTTTTTAAAAAGGAGAAATGTCTCTAAATACCCAAATATTTTTGAAATCTTAATAGTATTTGATTTGTAAGTTTCCCTACTTTAGAGCCAAATGTAGAATTCATCTCTCATTTGTGTTTTAATCCTACTGATTATGCCAGCACTATAACACTAGACAGAGAGGCGTCTCACGGATGAGTGTTTGAAATCCATCTCTGCCATCCACTGTGACTGTCCATTAACAAATAATCCTCATGTCATGGAACCAAATGAGACAACAATAAAACCCATAATGGACCTTAATTAATGTTATTCCCTTGTTTTGATCATCTAAGCCACATTTAAAATTACAACCACTTTTGATATTGCCAGAACCTAATAGAAACCATACATTAGATTTGTCTAAAGCAGTGTTTCTTAAGTGGTAGTGTGAATATGAGCCACCTAACCATATTAAAATATAGATTCTGGTTAAGTATGTCTGAGGTGTGGCCTCAGATTTTACGTTTCTAACAAGCTCTGAAGCGATGCACATGCTACTGGTCCATGGACCACTTTGAGTAGATCAAGTTGTATCTTTCAAATCCTTTCCCCAACTTGTGAAATCAGAGGCTCGAGTAACAATTCAGAGTCTTTGTGGTTCAACCCCAAGAAGTGTCAGGTTTTTACTTTGCTTTTTCATTGGGAAAAAGAAAAGAAAATTTAGTTTCTTTTACTTAGGAAAAAATTTACATTCTTTTTTAAAATGTTTGTTTTTATGTTTATTTTTTTAAAACTGTTAGGCACCGTATAAATGTACGTTTTTAACCCTGGTTATCTCCCTTAGGCTATTTCAGAATAGGGAAGACAGTCATTCAATTTGTAGAAACTTTTACTAGAAAGAAGTGTATTATAGTCTTTGGAACCAAATTTTAATATATGTGTTAAATTACATAGTTTATTAGACTTCATTTTTACTTTCTATCAAGAAGAGTAATTTGGAATTCAGTTTTCCATTGTTGGTTAGCTTGCCATTGTAACTACCACAGCCTATTGACATATTATCCCATGATTTTCTTTCCCTCCATGAATAGGAATCTCTAGCCCAGATTACCAATAGCAATTCAGATGAGGAAGATGCTGCTGCAGGAGACTCTGCTATGACACCGGTGGATGTAGACCTAAACCTGGTTTCAAACATATTGGAATCGTACAGTTCCCAGGCTGGACTGGCCGGACCTGCTTCCAACCTCTTACACAGCATGGGGGTGCAGCTGCCGGACAACACTGATCCCAGACCCACAAGTAAGCCAGCGAAAGACTAACCAGCCCATCGAGCCTGTCGTTTCTCTTTTTAAATAAATATTGAACCGGAGTGTGCTCCTTTCTAGTTTACTCATTTAGTAAAAAATATTTCTTCAGCCCTAACCGCTTTGGCTCAGTGGGTAGAGAGTCAGCCCCCGAACTGAAGAGTCCCTGGTTTCTGGTCAAGGGCATGTACCTTGGTTGCGGGCACATCCCCAGTAGGGGGCGTGCAGGAGGCAGCTGATCGATGTTTCTCTCTCATAGATAGTTCTGGCTATCCCTCTCCCTTCCTCTCTATAAAATCAAAAATATATATATTTAAAAATATGTATTTCCTCATTACAAGTTTCACAGGTTGACTTCTCAAATGTTGCCCTCTCTGCCAGGGTCTTTGTGATCTCCAGGAGGCCGCACAGGTTTTGAAGTCAGAAGAAGAGATGACATTCACATAGTCCATGTTTAGAACATTGTTTATTTTTATTGAGGACTAAATGTTGGGTAGAGAAAGGAAGATAGTAAAAAATAAGGAATGAATGAGTTGCTTTTTTATTCCAGTTACCAGGAATGACCTTAAGCCAGGCTCACTCTGGTGACAAATACACTGATTTTAATGTTTAACTTGTTTTTACTATTCTACTTCATAGACCCAGTGGGTTCTTTTTATCCTTAGCACCTTCATCATTAATTGCCACATAAATATTCTCCAGCCAAGGTCAGCCCTGTACCAAAGTTCCTTCTATTTATGTCAATTGCAGTATCCTAACCTTGTCCTCTTTTGCCTCAACTTTCAGATATCCTTGGAGTTCTGAAAAGCAAAGCTCTCTTCCCACTCATTGCTGGGAAACAAAGTTCAATGGTGCAGCTCCTCCTGTTAGCCACTCTCATCTTTTCTTTTCCAAAACAACACTTTAATCCAAAAGCAAACAGTTACTCCATGGTACATTTGAGAAACACGCACCCTCCCCCCCTGTACCAAGTTCCTTCTATTTATGTCAATTGCAGTATCCTAACCTTGTCCTCTTTTGCCTCAACTTTCAGATATCCTTGGAGTTCTGAAAAGCAAAGCTCTCTTCCCACTCATTGCTGGGAAACAAAGTTCAATGGTGCAGCTCCTCCTGTTAGCCACTCTCATCTTTTCTTTTCCAAAACAACACTTTAATCCAAAAGCAAACAGTTACTCCATGGTACATTTGAGAAACACGCACCCTCCCCTTCCTATCCTGTATTTTCAGACCAGGGATGTGTACACATGTGCTCACAAACACACCCACATAGAGATAGAAAAGATTGGGAGACGGTAATACACATGGACCCTGAACTGTTTTCTTCTGACTGCAAGATATGGGGAAATCTCGGGACCTCTCTTTCGAGAGTGCTTTTCCCGTCTACATGCTGGGTTCAGCTCAGGTCAGCGCAAGCTGCCAATCTAGCAGGACAAGCAAGTCCCATCTCATACTATCCCTCGCCATTTCCTGACGAAGGTACTTTGATTTCCAAAGCAATGATGGTTTGCTGGCAACAGTGACAGCAATAACCTTTTGGTTTCAATAGGAAATTCAGTGCTTTAACTTTTCTAGTTCTAGAAGCTCTTTTTCTTAGTCCTATGGAACTTTGATGTATGCATCATCATAGGTTTTCTGGCACTCATGTATTTAATCACAAGGTAGTGCCTGAAATCATCTGAGGATACAGCTCTTTCCCCAGACATCCATTCTTTTCAAACTGGCCTCTGACAGCGTTTCTTCTGCACATTGCTTCAGTTGTTCCACAGCTTGGTACTTGGACTTAAACACCTGTCACACTAATACAGAGATTCCTTTTCTCCCGCCCCCTCCAGATTCTCACTTTCTGCAATTTCCTCTCTTCATAAGACAGAAAAAATACATCTAAACAGAGGTATATAAATTTATTTTATTTCCTCCAGATAAATTCTTCTCCCCTATGACAAGGTATAAAATGGCATATATGAATGATGAGAATTCCTAAATTTAGTTTATCCCATAAAACTCAAGAAATGGTTCATCCTCACTAATCCCTTAGTTTAAGTTACAACACTTACTGGATATGCAAATAGCAGCAACCATTTTACACTTAGGGAAACAAATGGCAAAGTGATAATCACTTCCTTACGTCACAAACTGAGCAAGTAACAGCAAAAAAAGACTTACTGTCTTGCGGCCCATTGGGATGCAGTTATGTCAACTGAACCTCATTGCACCCGATTTATTACAGAGGACCCTGGGGAGACTTTAGCTCCCACCTTCCGCATCACCTTTTCTTTAAGGTGACTTAAAGAAACAGGACTTCTATTTAACTACCATGAACAAAATAATTACCTGTACATGATTTCAAAAATGTTAGGTTGTGCTATTTGTCTTAATTCTATGAGGACAAAAAATAATTCAGTGGTTGAGATTTGTTACATATTTTCAATACTCAGAGAAAAGTTTTAACCAAAATTACACCAGGCACATTTTGGCAGTTAGATATAAACCCAGCATGAACAAGCCACATGCCAAAAGATGTTTACTCCCAAGGCCTCGGAGAAAATGGGTAAACAAGGGCCCACATCTAAAGTAAAGCTTCACCTTCCCTCTGATTTTGACAATTGCCATCTCATTCGCTGCCTAGGAGTAGGAACTTCTTTCATTAACTCTGCCGGTAGAGGTGTCTTGCTGTAGGCTCACCTTCTCTGCCTTAATATGGATTTGGTTGGGTATGGCCTTTTGTCACCTTCCCCTTTTCAGCAGATCTTTGATGTGCCCTCCCTCCCCCTGGGATGCTGAGGAGGGACCTAGGTGATCTGAGCTAAGCAGGCAGGGAGGGGCAGGCCGGTTTTTCCACCCACTCCCTAATCAGTTGGTGGGCGATGGCTAACTTAGGGGGCAACCAGAACAGGAAAGTCCCATCCTGTTGCTGAGCATATGGGTGGTTTCTCTTCAGGGCTGCGACCACCTCATCATGACTAAACCAGGCAGCTGCTTCTAGTTCTTTCAAGTTCACCTGGATCTGAAAGACATAAGGAAAAACAGAATGTAAGATTGGGAGCTACAAAAGTTAGAATTCTATGGCCAAAGGTGAGAAAACAGTTCTAGAACTGAGCTATCTTAGAAGGTATTACCTGGGATCCATAGGCTGGGGGCAAATCAATTCTAGATATTGCCCAGCAGCAAAAGAGGCATACATAAGAGATGAGAGTTAAAAATATTTTTAATAGTAAAAACCCAGAAGTACAAATACAAAAATATTAAGAGTGGTTAGCATAGAGGGGTAAATTATGAATAATACTTGTTTTGCTTTGTGCCTCAATTGCTTGTATAAACATACAAATGTTTCTCTTCTTTAATGATAATCAAAATCATTGTATCTTTGCAAGGAGCAAAGTAGTACAAACTGAATCCACAGGAAGCTGAGGCAGATTAGATAGTATTCATTCCATAGAAACCAAAACACAATAGACAGACTTGGTAGATAGGGACCACAATGCCATCTGTAAGGGATGCTGTAGAAAATGAGGTTGGATAAGTGCCTTTCAACCAGAAGTCCCTATAATCATTATTATTATGTAACTGATAGTAATAATTATTATCAGTGCTCAACATCCTGATTGACTTGAGCAATAAGATCAATCTTGAAATCAATAATTAAATTTGATATATGATGTGCCTAATCTATGCGAGATGCTCTGTTAAGTCCTGATGATGAAAGGTAAGTTGTCTCGTGACTGAGATATGTACAAGGAAGAACGATGAGAATGTTGGCACTCCCAGTTTTCATGGTGATTCTTTTCTTTACGAGATTGAAAATTCCTTAAGGATATAAATCATTTCTTATGCATCTTTGTACAATCTAGACAGTGTTAAACTAGACGTTGTTTAAGTACCTACTGACAAGCTTAGATGAGGCAAAGGAAATATCAGAGCATTCGGGAGGCAGCACTTACCTCTGTCTGCCCTGGTTTCACAATTGCATGACAAGCAATCATGAGTGAGCTATTGGGAAAGGGCCAGTGCTGGGATGCAGAGTACTGCAGTCTGTCCACCTCCAATCCCACCTCTTCTGCAACTTCTCGCTGGACAGCCTCTTCCAGAGTTTCACCTACAAGCACTCAGATTAATTCAGGACAGCCCTGCAGCAGGAGGGGTGATACAGATGCCCATTTGTGAACGAGCGCAAAACTGGCCCCAAAGCTTCAATGAAAATACTCTTGGGAGAGCCTGAAATCTGACTCTCTCCAGCAATAGGAATCAAGTCTAGAGTTGGGTGTTGAACAGCAATACTTAACCCTACTAGGGTAGTTATAACACAAAATAGAGGGGCAGTGGGAGTGGTTACTGCTGCTGTCAGTTTTCATAAAATTCTAATGTGACATATCACCATTGGCAAATTTTACCCCAAGAGACTGAGAAAACTAATTCTAGTTAATATTATGCATGCTGAAATATTTAGGGAGAAGTGTACTAATGTCTGCAATCTGTGCATCAAAAAATGAGGATTGATGGATAGAGGAATGGATGGACAGATATGTGATAAAGTAAATATAAGAGATTATAGAATCTAGGTGGTGAGTGTATGGGTTTTCACTGTATAGTTCTTTCAACTATGCTGCATGTTTGAAAGTTTGCCTGTAAAATATTGGAAAATTATAATGCCAAGGGCCGTTTTCTTGACTTGACAGGGAAGAAGGAAGGAGGATTGATGGATAGAGGAATGGATGGACAGATATGTGATAAAGTAAATATAAGAGATTATAGAATCTAGGTGGTGAGTGTATGGGTTTTCACTGTATAGTTCTTTCAACTATGCTGCATGTTTGAAAGTTTGCCTGTAAAATATTGGAAAATTATAATGCCAAGGGCCGTTTTCTTGACTTGACAGGGAAGAAGGTGCTTGAGGCTCCAAGCACTATGACAGCAACACAGAGAAATAACTACTATCGATATGCTGTCGTGTCTCTAAACTCCTTACCTATGTCACAGAAACCCGCCAGGGCAGAATACATTCCCTTGGGAAAGGAACTCTGGCGGGCAAGCAGGCATCGGGTCCCGTCTGACACCAGAGTGATCACCACGGGAGCCATCTAGGAAAAGGGGATGCAACTTAGACAGTTGGGCTATGGCGCCTGGAAGGAGGATGAAGGAATGAATCACTAAGGAAAGCCTTGTATCGTACAGGCTCCATCCCCAGGACAGAGCCGCACAGCTTCTTGGACTCCTGTCCTACAGCAGTACTCACCTGCGGGTAATAGATGATCTTATTGGAAGGGCACACACGCTTGCTGCCAGCCACATTCTTTTTGGTGGGCTGCCCACTTCTGCTGCAGAACTGATGTGCATCATGCCAGCGGAGGAGAGCCTGCGCCTAGGAGTGCGAAGGTGGGCTTGGTTTCGTTTAGAGAATGTGGGGCTCATGTAGGACAGTGCTGGGCAAATCGGAGGGAAATGCCAGTGCCTTTTCAGTTCCTCTATTCTAAATGGTTTATTAACTGTCTAAACTTTAAAATAAGGAAACTATTGAACATATTCCTCCATCATCTGAAACATGAATAAAAGAAAGTATAGTTCAAGTATATTATGAATTATTTTTAAAAATGTAATATATAAAGTATTAAACACTCCATGTACCTATGACCCAGTTTAAAAATAAAACATTTCCAATATGAAACATTCCAACATGTATTCCTCCTCAATAAAGTTGGGGTGTTTTCGCAAATAAAAAATGTTTAGAGACATCTCTAAATTAAATGGATAATTAAAAGCACTTTAGCAAGTGAAGTGTAAAGCTGTGAGGATGAGTCAAAACAACAGAAATAATTTCTCAGGAAAAATAAAATGCATGACATGCTGTGGGTCACTGAACATGTTTAGGAGGTTAATAGATACCACAGATCGGCATGTCCTGAGGGGAACGTGTTCCTGATGGCAATCCTGCCAAAAACAGGGCGACAGAAAGGAACAGGCACTCTCCCCACAGCACACTGTCCTTCTGCCACGGTTTGTAGGAAGAGCTAGAATCTGCAAAGGAAGAAATCAACCGTAGCTCTCGCTTGTGCATGCATTTGCCCTTACGCACTGCTTCACTATTTCCTATGAACTGAGGAATCGGCACCTACCGTGGACAGTAAGGAAGCATCCTTCATGTTCAGCCGAAAGAGAGCCTTCCGCAGCTCAATGAAAGACCCCTTGAGCTCCGTCTCCATTTCAGGTTTCTGTAAGGAAGCTAGGAAGTTAGAAAAGAGAATGAAATGAAGCAAATGTCAAACTGCCTCGGGGCCCCTCCTCACGTATATCTGTTAGAACAGTGTTTCCCAAACTCGCCTAATAAGACTCAACTAGGAAAAATAAAAAATATACAGATTCTCAGCCCTGGCCCGGTAGCTCACTTGGTTAGAGCGTCATCCCCGATACACCAAGGTTTTGAGTTCAATCCCCGGTCAGGGCACATACAAGAATCAACCAATGAATGCATAAATAAATGGGACAACAAATCGATGTTTCTCTAAAATCAATATATAGGGTGTCCCCAAAAAAGTATACACACTTTAACAGCTGATAGTTCACATTTTGAAAATGAAATGTATTCTAATAAACACTGCCTTTATAATTATTCAAAGTGTGTCCCCCCAAAATGTATACACACTTTGAAAAATTATAAAGGCAGTGTTTATTAGAATACATTTCATTTTCAAAATGTGATAGAAATTAGCTGTTATTGTGTATACATTTTTGGGGGACACCCTTTATATACAGGCTTTCAAGCCCCCACGTGGAGATTCTGAACAGCAGGTGAGTGAGGCCAGAAATCTTTATTTTTTAACAAGTACCAGGTGATTCTCATATTCAGGCAAATTTGGGAAACAGCATAGTGCTATTTCACAAGATTGTCTTCAGGCAATAAGAACAGTTGTACTAGCCACACACTCTCCCTGGAAAAAAAGATGAAATGGGACCTCTAAACTCTCTGAACCCCACCCAGCATCATTACATTCGCATCCACACCCTGAAGAGAGAAGAAAGGCCTGATAGGAGCCATGAGCCTACAGCAAACTGGTTCCCAAATGCAGGTCTGAAGACCCAGAGCGACTTCAAGGTAACATGTTTATTCATTTGCATTGATAAGAGATACAAAAATGATGTCATAAATTTAAAATCGTTTCTTATGAAATACGTATGACATTAAATGTATAAAGGGACAGAGAATAATACAATGAACATCTTTGTACTCACCATCTACCTTAGAAAGTATTAAAATTCCTTTATTTTCTTTTAAATGATAGTAGATGGTAGTGGGTTTTTGTTTCTTTTCCAGAGAGGAGGGGCAAGGGAGAGAGAGAGAAACGTCAATGAGAGAATCATTGATCGGCTACCTTCTGTACTGGGGATCGAGCCGCAACGGAAGCATGTGCCCTGACCGGGAATCGAATCATGACCTCCTGGTTCATAGGTCGCCACTCAACCATGAGCCATGCCAGCTGGGCGATGGTAGTGCCTTTTTATGTTCTAACTTAAAATACAAAGTTGATAATATTTCTGTATTCCAAAATTTTTTTATTTTATTTTACTATCAAAATCACAAAGTCTGAGAACCACAGGGAAATACCCATTAGGAAAAACGTGTACCATTGACAGAAGAGGAGCTATTTAGACCTAGATCCAGAGCAAACCATGCTTCATGCTGTTCGGAGCATCCAATCAGCACAGAATCTTCTATTCTTTGTGCATCCTGTCCAAACTTAGCCAGGAGCTTTTCCAACTCTAAGAAACAAAAGAAGGGGAAAAAAAACAAGAGTTTTAATTAAACCAGCAGAGCCATCTTAAACTTACCGGAGAGCAGACACTCCAGCTTGAAGTAGGTACACCTGGCTTCCAGTCGCTGCCCTGCAGCTCATTAGCTATGTAAACTTGGTCTAATCATTTAACCTCTCTAAGCCTCTGTTTTCTCATCAGCAATCTGAGGAATTTAGACTATAAAAAGAATCCTCTCTGCGTAGCCCTGTATTACTCTATGATTGTATCATGAAAGAGCATATCCCCTACTTCAAAAGATTCGTGATAATTAACTTATTATGGCATGGAAAAAAATGTGTCACATTTAGTATGGCAGAGACCAAATCAGTTCTATACTTTAATCTCCAGGTTATGCTGTTTTTGTGGGCCAGAGTAGGATAGTCATCTGAGATCCCAGTATGTGTAACGTAAGTGCTGCATAAGGAGAAAACCTATCCTGTGCATGAACGACTCATATTTACTTATTCATAATACAGCAGAACGTTGCTACATCTCTAAATGTGTAGTGCCTCCAAGGCATCCTCATATTCTTCTGCAGTGCTAGAAGCTACCTATCCAGGTCTCCGACATCCGACCCATGAAGGAAATTCACTGGCAATGTATTTAGAAGTTAGTCAGTGTATAGTGACATCATAGAAAACGGAAAGTTAGTATCTTGAAAGCCAAATCCCAATAGTTTAAATATCTCTAGTTACATTAATTAATTCACTGTTAATTTTGACCCTTCTAGGAGAAATGAAGTCACAATGCAAATCCTGGCCAGTAAGATACTGTGCAACTCCATGGAGGCTGGAAATCACCAGCCCAAGGCAGGGGTTGGCAAGACCTGTTAGGCTTTTAAGCTCTGTCAACTCCTCTGCTCTGCCATTATAATGTGAAAGCAGCGTGGCTGTGGTCCAATGAAAATTTATTTACAAAATGTAAGGGGTTCCAATGTGGACAGCAGTTTAGCCTACCCCTGGTTTAAGGCAGTAGTGGTTCATACCATCACTAACAGTTTCCTGGGCGACACAGGTGTATACATGAAGTATTTAATTGGCAGAGGACTTTGAGACAATCTGGACTCTAAACTTGGAGGATCCTTCTCAGGGATCAATATGGACGGAATTCTGCTCAGTGGCCACAGGTTGGTCTACTCTACTGGTTCACTCTGGGCTTACCTAATAGGCTGTGCTGGGGGGGCAGGTACTGATGTTCCGATTGCTGAAGCAAAGGAGCCAGGTTATGAAAGAGGTAAAATGCTCCCGTCTGCTGGGCTTTTCTACACGCATCATCGTCTTCCTTCAGTTCAAATAAATACCTGTATTTTGGGAAATAAAGCATTACAAAACCACATTTAGTTACGTGGCAGCATTCACCTGTCCCTGCATCCCTCTCCTACCATGCTTATTTCCTCTTATTTATTTACACACTGAATTGCTCTGGGAAGGATTCGAGGTGGCTGCAGGCCATCAGTCCCTCCTTTGTCCTATTGCATACCTTGCCAGCACTTCTGTGGTTGCACTTACGTTGTACTGTCTGTTCATTTGTCTGTCTCCCCCGAAAGACTATGACCTCCTTACGGGCAGGGTCTGCCTTACTTCTGTATCTCCAGTCATTATGGCTCAATTCCATAAATACTTATTGAATTGAACTTCAAGGGTAATAAATATTTACTGAATTGAACCTCAAGGCACTTTGCCCATATTACACTGTGAAGCAAGAATTTACATGCAGTGGATTGAGAGGAAAACAAGTACAGTGATAAAACATCAACCACAGAATACCTAGAGATGCAAGCAGACTTCATTACTGCAGACAAAGAGTAAAAACACTATACCTTCAGTAACTCGCCTTCGATCTAGGGAAGATAAAGTGCCAATTTTATCTTCAATGCACATGCACCCTTGTTTCAAACATCTAGCTCCCAGGTGGACACCATTTGCTCCTTATCTTTACTGAAGGCACCAAGTGAAGCCATTACTTGTCTATTTAGTGAGTGTAATATTTTCAGTAGCCAAAAATGCAGAACAGAGAATCTCTCTCTATATATATAAAAGGCTAATATGCTAAGTGTCCTTCCCTCCATCCGGGTAATGATGTCACATAGCAATGCCCGGCTTCCTCTCCCTAGCCATGACGAGCCCCCTTGCAGTTTCTTCGGCCCAGGAACACAACTTGCTTTATAGCCAGATGCAAACACTTCACACAGTAACTAAATGTCTCTGAAGCGTTTTCCCGTGCCTCATCTCATTTGATCCTCACAGAAGTCCTGGAGTAGGTAGATAAGAGACTCGGTGAAATCCTATTTTCTTTTCATTAGCCGGAAAACAGAGATTTAGAAAGTTTAGAAACTTGACCCGACTGAAAAGAAGTAAGAAATGGTGGACCTTGAAAATGACTTCAGGTTTTCTCACTGCACAGAATATAGTCAAACACTGCTGCAGTTAAATATTTTACCCTTTGTTCTCCCTGCGTGATCTACAATAATAATCAGCTTCGTGTTGATATTTACTGCTGTGTTGCTGACAATTACCTGAAAGAGAAGTTAGGATGCTTCACTGGGCTGGAAAAAGTTTAGCTAAATCAGAAAACAGGTCTAATTAAGCAAGTTTGTTCTATATCTATAAAAGGCTAAGTTCACTTGCTCATGCATGATACATATAAAGCTCTCGCGCCAATCACGCGTGTGTTTCCATCTGTCATTGTCAATCATGAATTTGGTTGACATTTCTATTATAGAGAAAGGGCGAATAGCGATATTAAAATATTCTAATTCATTTCCTTTCAATGTGCATGAATTCATGCACCGGGCCACTAGTATTCTATAATTAGCTTCTATTGTAAAAGAAATCATATGGTGGCAAGTTCTAGGCTTTTCCAGTACCCTCATTAAGGGTGGCCTTATTCGAGCCACATGCGGCTCTTTGGTCCCTTGAGTGTGGCTCTTCTTAAGCCTTAGGAGTACCCTAATTAAGTCAATAACAATGTACCTACCCCTATATAGTTTAAGTTTAAAAATTTTTGGCTCTCAAAAGAAATTTCAATCGTTGTACTGTTGATATTTGGCTCTGTTGACTAATGAGTTTGCCGACCACTGGTCTAACCTTTTAATAAGAGCCTTGAGAATCAAATCAATGTTCCTATGATGTGGGGGTTCTGGGGAGGGGAGAGGGACTGAATGTGGATTCTCTTTCTGGGCCTTAGGGATATGCATTCTTGCCTGTTGAAAGCCCTAAAACAGACTCTTGGGTATATGGCATATTTGTCACTTAACCAGGAAACCAGGTTTACAGATATTTTCTGTAGGATCTGCGAGCTTGTGTAACCCCAGTAGGCAGAGTTGACTCAACATGAAAAACCACAAAGCAAAATGATAGACACACCCCAAGCAACATCTTTAGAAACCGTTTTGACTGCGTGATGAAAGGGCTTACAATGATCTCTTTATAGACAGAAGCAGAGGAAACCTGAGATTTTAATACTTGTGATATTTTTAAACTTAATATGAGTGGCTGCAGCCTCCCAGAGCAAAGACTCGATGTATGTCAAAGGAGAGACATGTGCCACTCAGAAGTTCCCAAATAGAAACAATAGAACAAACACAGCTGCCTTCACAAAAGAACAGAACGAGTGGTACAACCTGTGCTTTGCTTGCCCTAATGACCCTGAAAAGAAAAACACCGAGGTTAAGGCCTTAAACCTGGGGCCTCACTGGAACTGGAACGAACTGAGGTCCAAAAGTTTCTTACATTTTTCTTAATGAGAAACACTATTTTTTAAAATTCATTTTCCCCATTTGGTTATAATAGCATGGAAACTATAAAACTAAGATAAAACTTAAACTGTTTTTTTTCTTATTATAAAAGTAAAAAATAGTCATTCTATAAAAATCAGGAAATACAATCATCAATTTTTTCAAAAAAGGAAATCATTAAGAACCCCACCACTCAGATATAATACTGTTCACAGCTTGAAATTCTCCAAACTATTTATTAATATTATGTATCTATACATATTTAGGTCTATTTAGTCAGACCTACTAATTTGTAGCCTTTTTTCTTAAACATATTATCATTTTTACACTGTATTCCTTATTAATAGAATTTTATTCTTTTCTCACGATTTTTTGTTTTTAATATATTTAATCACATTAACATACTCACTTTTTAGACTAGTCAATAATTCTATCATTTTTTGAGAACTGCAAATAAACTAAATGCCCAACAATACTGAAACAAGTATTGCAATTTTGTTGCGCCCTCACCTTGCTCATGTAAGATACTGTGCTTGTGTGCCTTTTGTTGTGGATGGGCACTCCCCTTGGCAGAGTTTCCTGCGTGGGAAGCAGTGGTTGTGAGTGTGCCCTCCATGGGAGGGTTGCATTTGCTCCTGCCAGGTGCCCCGGAGGTATCAGTCTAGGATACTACTTATATCCATTTCTTCGGCAGGGGGTCTTTGGACCACACCATATCAATGGTGCAAATTTAAACCCCAAAACTGTATGAGAGCAGGCTAGTGATTTCAAGTTCATAGATATCAAATTTGCCCAGGCTGAGACAAAGAAGTCATTTATCATTTTCCTGTACTGGTGTAGATTTCTTTTTTCTAGTCTACCTTCCACTGAAGTTTAGTTCTTTGGTGGTGGTGGGTACCAAGATTGGAGTTATTTACCTTATTTTCAGGAAACGTCATGAACTATTATTCAGTATAGTTTTTAATGCCATCATATGGGTGTACCATGATTTAATTAACTTCTCCCTGTTCATTCAGCCATTCAACGAGGCCTCAGTGCCTACTATGTGCCAGGTTCTGTTTTGTGCACTAGGGGTACCATAGTGGAAAAGACAAAGTTCCTATCTTACTAGAACTTATATTTAAGTAAGTCAGGTATTTTAGATATTATTGGAAATTTATTTAGAATTTTTCCAAGTATAAATAATTCTCAGTGAACATCCTTATATGTACATCTTAATCATATAACCATAATCCTCAATATAGGATTTTAAGAATTTTATAATTTAATGGGCCAAAGATTGAGTAATCAGAGCTTAGGTTGGTTAACTCACCGGGTCTTAGCGACATAGGTTGACAGCAGCCGATAGCACCAAAAAGATTTTCTCCTGCAAGCAATTCCACAATACAGAGACATTGTCAGGTCCTTAGTGGAAAGAGGAGTTAAAAAAAAAAAAAAGATCATAGTTTGCAATTTAAAATAATGAATCACCAAAAGGGTTATACTTTAAGCCAGAATAGTATTACTTTTTAAATATTAAGGAAAGAGAAACTGAATAGGAGTCAGATGATCTGGTGTGTAAATTGCATTTCTACCACTAACTAGCTATGGGATTTTAACTTTTCAATACCTTTTTCCTAATTTACAAAATTAAAACCTGTTCTGCCTACCTACTCTGTTATGAGAATCAGCTAGCTATCCACGAGAAATGGGCGCTGTCCTTCCAGATTGGGGAACTGTTGCTGGGAGGTAGCTGGGGAGCCAAGGCCTACTTTTCTCTCCTTCCTTGCATGTAAGTAGAGCCAAAACCAATGGAATGTGAGTGGCTGAAGCAGTTAAGAAGTGGGGATGCCTTTTCCATTCTCTTTTTCCCCTTCTGCTTGGAAGATTCTAGAATGGCACACCATTACATCCTTGAATCATTCCATGGGAAAAGCCACCTGTCAACCAAACCTCCCCCCGCCCCCCAGCCTTGGACAATTTGTGAGTGAGAAATTAACTTCTACCATATTAAGCCACTGACATTTCAAAGTTTGTTACAGCAGTTAGCAGGACTCTGATAGACCAAGGAAGCCTGGGAGGGTCTCTAGAGTAATGGAGCCACATTTCTCAGAATATGAAACAGGATGAATCCTATAAATAATAAAAATATAAAATCATGGCCATTAGGGAAATATTTCAAAAGGCAGCAAAAGCCCTAGCTGGTTTTGCTCAGTGGAGAGAGCGAACGTCAGCCTGCAGACTGAAGGGTCCTGGGTTTGATTCCAGTCAAGGGCACATGCCCAGGTTACGGGTTCGATCCCCAGTAGGGAGTATGCAGGAGGCAGCCGACCAATGATTTCTCTTTCATCATTGACATTTCTATCTCCCTCTCCCTTCATCTCTGAAATCAATAAATATATATATATATATTTTTTTTAAAGGCAGCAATACATGGATCTAAGATATTTTCTATTTTTTTGTATCTCATTGTGAGAGGAAAAAAATGCTCTATCTTAAGAATATACAATGGGAGGGGAAAAGAATAAATTCTGTAGAAGGTGGTTCCTTTTAAATTGTGTATCAGTAAGCATTTTATTTCCCATGAGAAGTACATTTCATAGTAGCAATAAAAGGCAAGAAGTTCCACTGAAATGAAAAAATCAGTACAAGTCAAATAACCAACCACACTTTTAACCTCGCCCAAGGGAAACAAACTTTGACACTAAAGTACTGAAGACCATCTAAAGTTTAGGCCTACTTCTTGGTTGCATAATTACGAAATGCTGATGACTAATCCTTGGACAGTTTTGGCTAACTTTGTCCTGGACAAGGGTAAATTATATTTAGCAAATGACATTCAACAAAGTATTTACTGAGTACTGACTTTATGCAAGGGCCGTTAAGAAATACAAAAAAATGTACAGGATAAAGTCCTGCCCTCAAGGGACCCTAGCAGGAGAGAGAAAACAAGTAACTTCACAGAAGGCAATATGTGATAGGTGGGTTACAAAGCGCCCTAGGAAAGTATTAAAGTGATCAGACTTGTGTTATTACTGGAAGAAATGTATTTAAAGTCAATATTTCTGCCTCATATACAGCTCTGAGAATGTAATAAACATTCCTTTCACCTAGAAATTCCACTTCTAGGAATTTATCCTAAGAAGGAAAGGCTATGTATAAGAATGTTCACTGAAAATTATGACAGAAAGGAATAATACACCGCTGTTAAAATAATAGTGGAAGGCTATATATGTAGTAAGAGGGGAATATATTCAGAATATATTAAGTAAGAAAAGCAAGTAGTTTTTGGTTGTTTTAGCCTCATCTAATTAACTTATAAAGAAAAGGCATATACATATACATACCAGAATACATAAATTAGATACGTATTTATTTACATTTTTAAATATACTTTTATTGATTTCAGAGAGGAAGGGAGAGGGAGAGAGAGAAACATCAGTGATGAGAGAGAATCACTGATTGGCTGCCTCCTGCACACTCCACACTGGGGATGGAGCCCGCAACCCCGGCATGCGCCCTGACCGGGAATTGAAACATGACCTCCTGGTTCATAGGTCGACACTCAACTGCTGAGCCACGCCAGCCAACCTTTACTTATATTTTAAAAGTGACTAGAAGTACACATATCAAATGGTTATCAGTGACTAATTTGGTAGAGTGGAATGAAGATAGAGATTGAAAAGGGTACCTGTAATTTTTACTCTATACATTCCTGTACTACAAAAATTCTAGCCAGTGAACATACTCCTTTACAATCAAATAAAGTATAATAAATAATAATTCCCGAGACTAACTGCACAATGAGGCTATTTCCAAGCCACTGTTTCTAGTAAGTACCTCATCACATTCCCCAAATCCCGCACCCTCCCGGAGCCAAAAGGAATTCCTTTGATAAATTCTTTGAATCCTGAAAACTGTAAGAGCTTTTTGGTTGTAGTTATGACTACCAGCTAATCTGTGTGGCCCACTGCACTTGACTGCCTGATGTTTTGCCTACTTCCTGCTACTAAATACTGCCCCTTGTGAAGTATGGTGACCTGCTGACTCATGGGGTGACCTGCTGACGCAAGGGGGTTGCAAAGCTTGTAGAAAACATGGTCAAGTTCTTAATGTAGCTTTGAAGAAAATGTCAATAATCAAGAGGAAAAACAGACTTCTTTTAATAGAGAATTGTACCTTCACTGGTACAGTCATAAGCCTAGTAGATAAAGATTAAGTCTAATTCCTTTCCTAAATGGGCCCTTATGTATTTTTTAACTTCATTTTTCCTTGTAATTTTCATAGACATCTTACATAAAAGCAGTATAGAGACTATTTAAAAGTCAAAGAAGCAAAAATTATTTTCTTAAAATTCAGTTTTAACTGTATTTTTCTCTTTTAAATAGATCATTTAAATTATAAAATTAATATCACTACTTACAGGACATCTGCAAAACAGAATTGTGAGAGTACCCATAATATCATCACATAAATGTAACTTATAATTTAATATGTATTTTCTAGTCTTTTGTACACATATAATTTTTACATCTTTATAGTCAGAGTACACTTTTTTTTCAACTTGCTTTCATGAAAAATGATATAAGCAGTTTTCTGTTTTTATAAAAGCTTCATAATTTTTTTGGCTACATAATATTACTTTCAAGCATACTCACACTGATTTTGCTAAACACTCCCCCGATTTTAGACATTTAGGTTGCTCTGATTTTAAATTACCAGAAATACCACCTAAATACCTCTGTGCTGATATTTTCAAGTTCTTTCTTTAACATAAGTTACCCCAAATAGATTTATTTTAATACCAATGTTCTTTCTACACATTATTGCATTTAACAATATTCAATAGCATTCGGTTAAAAAAACCCCTTTTCTATTTCTTTGATCACTATAGACCAGCGGTTCTCAACCTGTGGGTCGCGACCCCTTTGGGGGTCGAACGACCCTTTCACAGGGGTCGCCTAAGACCATCAGAAAACACATATATAATTACATATTGTTTTTGTGATTAATCGCTATGCTTTAATTATGTTCAATTTGTAACGAAATTGGGGGTCACCACAACATGAGGAACTGTATCAAAGGTTGAGAACCACTGCTATAGACCTTGAAAGTGTTTTCAGATTTAATAGTCCTTGTTCTCCTTTTGTAAAATGTCGGATGTTCTGTGTTCATTCATTAATTGTGATTTTACTCTGCATATGACCATTCTAATTTTAAAAAATATTATAGTACATTTGCAGTGTATTCCACAATTTGATCACCAAAGTGCACTACAGGAACCAACTGCTATATGTATTGTCTTTCTCTGTGAAGTAGTCATTCAGACAGAATCTCAGTATAAACAAACAAACAAACAAAGGTTATTTTAGCAGTCAGGAGGATATGTGACATTGTTTTAGGATGAAAATATAATTTCGTCCTATACTATTCAGAAATCTAGTGCAGGAACAATTTGCTACTTTCTTTTTTTGTTTTATTTTATTTTATTTTTTATTTTTTTTTATTGCTTAAAGTATTACAAAGGGTATTACATATGTGTCCTTTTTTTTCTTTCCCGCCCTTGACAATCACCTGGCCTCCCCTACCCCCCAGGGGCTTATGTCCATTGGTTATGCTTATATGCATGCATACAACTCCTTCGGTTGATCTCTTACCCCCCTCCCTTCTGCCCCCCAACCCTCCCTGGCCTTCCCGCTGCAGTTTGACAATCTGTTTGAGGCAGCTCTGCCTCTGTATCTATTATTGTTCAAAAGTTTATAATGGTCTTTATTATCCATGAATGAGTGAGATCATGTGGTATTTTTCCTTCATTGACTGGCTTATTTCACTTAGCATAATGCTCTCCAGTTCCATCCATGCCGTTGCAAATGGTAAGAGTTCCTTCTTTTTTACAGCAGCATAGTATTCCATCGTGTAGATGTACCACAGTTTTCTAATCCATTCATCTACTGATGGGCACTTAGGCTATTTCCAGATCTTAGCTATGGTGAATTGTGCTGCTATGAACATATGGGTGCACATATCAATTTGCTACTTTCTTTTTCTGAAATATTTGTGATTTTTCACTATCTTTTGGGGGGGTCTTCAGTGTGATGCATAATTCAAAGTGTATTGGCCCAGGGGCTCAGATTTAGTAAACATGCTACCATACTCACATCCATCTGCTCAAATGCCACATTACAAACAGAGTAACTGTTATTGTTTGAATTGGCAACTATTGTCATATTTTAATGCCTGACAGCACACTGAGGATAAAAGTTTCACTATTCACAAAATACAGGGTGGGGCAAAAGTAGGTTTACAGTGGTGAGTCCGTGAAACATGGTTTGCTCTTGTGTTATTATTTATTAATTATTGTGTTATTTCCCATACAAACAACTGTAAACCTACCCTTGCCACTCCTTGTACTTTTGGCAGCACCATTACTTTACATGGCAAGCTTACCAGTAGGACTGCCTTCTGTTTTCACAGTACAAATGCATGTCTCCAAAGCGAGGAAGGAACGGTGAAGTGAGCACTGGAGAGACGCGGGTCCTTTTATTCCTGGCTCTCCCACTGGCTGACTCTGCGACCTGGGGCTCTCACCTTACTTGTCGGCTTGGTTTTGGTCTTACTTCTCACAGGGGAAGGAGAGACTATGGATCTCAGGTGAATTACAACTATGTCAGCTTTTGCATATTCTCAGGTCTGTTAGACTGTGAAATGCTTCAAGGTTAGGGTTGTGTCTTCCATTCTCTACAGCAGCTAGCACAGTGTAAATACACTATACACCAATGAAGAATGAATGAATGAATGCATTTATCTCCTTTTACAGGAAGACAAAGCTTTGAGAAGTTGGCCAATCTGAGATCACAATCTAGAGAGCAGCAGTCAAACCCAGGGGCTATCTGGCTCTAAAGCTCATCTTTTTTTTTTCTTTTTCTTTAATCTTTATTGTTGAAAGTATTACCTATGTCTCCTTCTTCCCCCCATACTATTTATGTTTTTAAATACAAATACTGATAGAGATAAAAGGTAATATTGTTTTTACTGAAAACTATTAAATGAGGAGGCAAATCCCTCTGTAATGAAAGACTCACACATTTCTCATCCTGTCCATCTTAACATTGGAAAGGTGTATTTGTCAAGCACTACAGCGCGACAAAAGCCCACCGTGACTCTCTCTGGTTCATTGGCCCAGAGGCCGGGCTCCGCAGTGGTTGAGAGGAGCCTTTGCAGAGAGTCTGTCTCTTCATGACAGCGGCCGGGCCGGGATGGGCTGGGACAGAACCAGAACCAAGGAGCCGCTGGGATGGATACAGGTTTCAGGGTCTCTCGGACCAGCTTTCTTTTCTGAACCCTAATTTACGTCCTGAAGACTAATGTTTCCTCCCTTAATTCAAAAAAAATCCAGGCACCATCAGAGAAGTTAGCAAATTCCATTTTTCAGTGACTCTCCAAAAAATTATTACGTGTAGTTAATAAGATAGTGCTACAGGTTGTGATGCAAAGCTGTGGTCATTCCTGGTTTCTGTAAGGAGACGGGGCTAAGCTAAAATGGCAACATGCTGTAACAGAGGTTTTTTCCGATCCTGATTATGCCTCCTGCACTTAGAACCGGAACAGTGTCATCCCGCTGTACTCACTCCGAGTTGTGCTGGGGGTGCCGTCCTAGGCCTCAACAATCAGCAGAAACCAGGAAATTCCAAGTGTTCCCGGGAAGTTGCGCTTCCCCAGCCCAGAGGGACCGTGGCTGCCTCACTTCCCAGAATCCTCCTAGAGATGCATTCTGGGAAATGTAGTTCAATCTACAGGCGTGCTGCTATGTCCTCCAACTGCAAAGTTAACCGTGGCTGTCAAAAGCATGATCTTCTAAGACAGTGGTTCTCAACCTTCCTAATGCCGGAATCTTCTAAGTCCATTATCAGAACTTCTGTGCCTTTGGAGAAGGCAGATCAGCATAAGATCCATTTCTTTTTAAAAACAAAAGGATAAAATTATTAAACTAATCATGCACAGAAAGCATATTTTGTGGGGGGAGGGGAGGAGTTTGGGGCAGGAAATAAGATACCTTTCAACTTCTCTGTATCTCTAATTCTCTGCCCACTTTAGAACTAGCTCTAACATTTTATGAAATTCTGCCAATTTCAACAGACATGACTGTGTCTACATGTATTTGCACTAATGATAGAATGCATTCCTCGATCAACCAGGGCAAGAGGATTCCATCTGACTGAAAGCAAAATCACTCTAGTGCTGTTCTCTTCTCACTACTAAGTTACTTACTGATATGAGAAGACAGTATGAAGGCCATCCAATCAACATATATTTAATGAGTACCAAATACGCCCAGAATTGTTATAGGCACATGATATCACAGAAAACAAAACAGGAAAGTTTCTGTGCTTGTATAATTATTCTAGAGAAGAAAATAAAAAGCCAAAAAAGTAAATATACTGTACAATGTGTCAAGTGGTTATGAGTGCTAGGGAAAAAAAATAAAGCAAGATATGAGGAAGGATTTTGCTATTTTACATATGGTGGTCAGCCTCATTGATAAGGTGATATTTAAGCAAAGACCACGAAGGAACTAAAAAAAAACACAAAAAAACTAAGTGGATATTGTTAGGTCTGATCAAATAATTGAATCAATATCCCCTCCCCTGGAAACTGATCTTTAGACCACTTCACAACCAACATTCCCTTTCCCTTAGACCACATTCCACTTGCTAAGACCATAGTCTTTCCCCTCTGGATCAGCCCAGAGAATTCTCTGCCCAGAAAAAACCTGCCTAGAGTCCTTTAAAATCTCTAACTCCCTGTCACTGGGTGCTGGTGCCATTTCGTGGCTCAGCCCATCTGGTTTTCCAGATGACCTAATAAATTCATAATTCTATACCCCTTTTGGCCTCATGCATTCCTCCTTTGGCAACCCTAACAGATATCTATGGGAAGAGATTTGTAGACAGAAAAAAAACCACAACACAACAAATGCAAAGACCCCGGGGAGGAAGTGTGCCTGGCAGATTAGAGGAAAGGCATATATAACAAAGCGTGGTGATCAGAGATGAGGTCAGAGTAGCCAAACACCAGAGCACATAAGGTCTTACAGGTCTTATAATTCTTTTTTTTTTCCAACTTCCAGCATCAATGTATTTTTCTTAGAATTTGGATACAATAACTGCAAGACAGTGCTCAATACTATTCAAACCTCACTTAAGGTTCTTAAACTACCTCAGCATTTGTAAGTGTGAATTCACATTCCAGTAAAACTGGAAAACTAGAACGAACTCTCCAAAAATTCATCTGGCACAAAAAACGACCCCGAATAGCTGCAGCGATCCTGAGAAAGAACAAAGTAGGTGGGATCTCAATACCAGATATCAAGCTGTATTACAAAGCCACTGTTCTCAAAACTGCCTGGTACTGGCACAAGAACAGACATATAGATCAATGGAATAGAATAGAGAGCCCAGAAATCAGCCCCAACCAATACGCTCAATTAATATTTGACAAAGGAGGCAAGAACATACAATGGAGTCAAGACAGTCTCTTCAATAAATGGTGCTGGGAAAATTGGACAGATACATGCAAGAAAATGAAACTAGACCACCAACTTACACCATACACAAAAATAAACTCAAAATGGATAAAGGACTTAAATATACGACAGGAAACCATAAAAATACTAGAAGAATCCAAAGGCAACAAAATCTCAGACATATGCCGAAGCAATTTCTTCACCGATACAGATCCTAGGGCATTGGAAACTAAAGAGAAAATAAACAAATGGGACTACATCAAAATAAAAAGTTTCTGCACAGCAAAAGAAACCATCAACAAAACAACAAGAAAGCCCACTACATGGGAGAACATATTTGCCAACATTATATCTGATAAGGGCCTAATCTCCAACATTTATAGGGAACTCATACAACTTAACAAAAGGAAGATAAACAATCCAATCAAAAAATGGGCAAAGGACCTAAATAGACACCTTTCAAGTAGTCAGAGAAGCTCTCAACACACATAGGCTTGCCAGGAATCATATCAACGATGGCAGCATCACCAGATTTCAAAAACTTGGGGCCATCTTCCCAGAACAACGATCAATCTTCTCCTTTAGCTCAGGAAATTTGCAAGTGATGTGAGCTGTGTGACAATCCAGCACAGGTGCATATCCAGCACTGATCTGGCCTGGGTGGCTCAGGATAATCACCTGAGCTGTGAAGCCAGCTGCTTCCATTGGTGGCCATTTTCGCTGTCACCAGCCACATTGCCACGGCGAACATCTTTGACACACACGTTCTTGACGTTGAAGCCCACATGGGCCCCAGGAAGAGCTTCACTCAAAGCTTCATGGTGCATTTCAACAGGCTTCACTTCAGTTGTAACATTGACTGGAGCAAAGGTGACCACCATGCCGGGCTTGAGAACACCAGTCTCCACTTGGCCCACAGGGACAGTACCAACACCACCAACTTTGTAGACATCCTGGAGGGGCAGATGCAGGGGCTTGTCAGTTGGACGAGTTAGTGGCAGGATGCAAGCCAGAGCTCCAAGCAGCGTGGTTCCACTGGCATTGCCATCTTTACGGGTGACCTTCCATCCCTTGAACCAAGGCATATTAGCACTTGGCTCCAGCATGTTGTCACCATTCCAACCAGAAATTGGCACAAAGGCTACTGTGTCAGGGTTGTAGCCAATTTTCTTAATGTAGGTGCTGACATCTTTAACAATTTCCTCATATCTTTTCTGGCTGTAGGGTGGCTCAGTGGAATCCATTTTGTTAACACCAACCATCAGCTGTTTCACACCCAGTGTGTAGGCCAGAAGGGCGTGCTCACGGGTCTGTCCATTCTTGGAGACGCCTGCTTCAAATCCACCAACACCAGCAGCAACCATCAGGACAGCACCGTCAGCCTGAGATGTGCCTGTGATCATGTTTTTGATGAAGTCTCTGTGCCCTGGGGCATCAATGATGGTCACATAATACTTGCTGGTCTCGAATTTCCACAGGGAGATGTCAATGGTGATACC